GACACCTAGTAGCTCTTTGGTGCCATGCATCCAGAAACAATACACTGCTGGCGTCCGGCTCACTCTCCCTTGTCTCCTCCCCACTGGTCCAAGGCTCAGGTGCCTCCTGGTGGCCAACCAGCCTCTCTGTGCCCTGCTCAGTATCTGAACCCTGTCCAGAGTCCTCCACATCCTCCAGAGCCAACTCATAGGGCCCCTCGCTGTTGGAGTCTGGTGGCAGCTCCAACGGCTCCTGCTGGGCCACAACAGTGATCTATGCTGCAAAGCTATTACCTTTAGGAAATTCCACTAAGAGTCCATTGAGATAAACCAAGCCACTTCTTAAAGTGCCAACATAGCATTCTGTTTGCTAACATTTTGATACAAGAAGTAAAGTCACTGGCAGTTTCATATTTAAAAGCAAAAGCCCTACCAAATATATATGGAATCTTCCATTTTTTTGAAGGAGATAAATATGCCCTTGTAGAAGTGAGAAAACAATTTCTTCCCAAATATATTTCAACTATTTGAAAGTGTCTGACACACAACTCTATATCTAACTTTTAGCCCATACTGATTCCATGTTGGCGGTGCACTTTAAATAGTGCATTTGTGTGTGATTTGTCTTTCCACAAATATATGAACAAAAGTAAGGCATGAGAACTTTAATTAGCTAGATCATATTCAGCTTGCTATTAAATAATCATGTGGGTACTGTCCTTGATTCCCATAGTTCCAGACTGAATGTATGTCAGGATGTGTTTGCCCTGATGGCTTGATTGATGACGGCCAAGGGGGATGTGTAGAAGAAGATGACTGCCCATGTATTCATAACCAGGCGTTTTATCCCAATGGAGAAACAATAAGCGTTGGCTGCAACACATGGTAGGATATGCTATGAACAAAGTAGAAACGGAAGATGATAGTCATTTCTTATTTCACATCATTTATAGTTTGCTCTGCACCTTTAAAGCAATCCATTGAGAGATAGCTTTGATCTTACTATCTCCCTCTCCCCCCTTTGATACTCTCTAGTACCTGCCAAAAAGGAAGCTGGAAATGCACCAACATAGTGTGTTACGGGACATGTACCATTTATGGCAGTGGCCATTTCATAACCTATGATGGAAAATTCTATGACTTTGATGGTCACTGTGAATACGTGGCTTCTCAGGTAATATTCAATTACTAGGACCAAGTTTTGCAGTAACCCAAATTATACAGTATTTGAAGTGACTGTCAATTTTATTCCACGGATACCCATCAGAATGTCATTCCATGGACTCTTCTTATCCAGCAGGCAACTAAGTAATTGCATTAAGATGATTTTTTTTTTTGCACATAATTATTTTACCAAATTTAAAAAAAGTCTGGCTTGTATAGAAACCCATGATACTGAATTAAAATATTAACAATTTAACAACACTTTGGATATTTTCTGAAATTTATTTTGTTCAGTGTTGATGGTATCTATACTGGTAATAGGCACTCTCGTTCAATGTACTTTCAAACGAAAAAAAGACTTTGCCAATCTTACCTTTTAAAACAGGAATTCCTAATGAGTAATATATGCTGGCCCAGTTTGTCTATGTCTTACCAAATTTTGATCCTAACAGGGCAACTTTTTAAAGATAGTGTCTATTTGACTTCCTGATATGGATGGCTTTACATTTAAGTGAAATTAAATTGCAACTAAAACAATCTGACTCAAATCTTACCATCTATTACAATGTATTACAATCTTACAATCTATTCTGTTGTTTCATAAAAATCACAAAACACTTTGGAGATCTTGAATTGTAGTGTTGGTGTTTTAAAAGCTGGAGGAGTTCCTTTGCAATGATTCTTTGGGGCTTGTATATTACAATTTTCATTTTTGTTGATTTTATCTTCTCATCATGTCAAATATTGTGCCAATAATAAAGTGTTTCCTGGGTTACAATTCTTTGAATTAACGTTATCTGCATGGTTGATCAATTACTTTGCCTCACCATGCATATGACTATGACATTCTGACAATGACCACTTTATGACATTATATGACCACAATGGTACCCATACAATAATTTTCAGACAAATAAAATATGCTATTTTTAAAGACTAGCTCATTAAATGGTTTTTTTTTTAGTGGGTGGATGAAGGAAGTTGGCTAGTAAGTTTGAAGCATGAATGTTCTCATAAACATAAAGGAATGATTAACTGCACAGTGCCCAGAGTCACTCTGTGAATGACATGTGAAACATTATTTGATTTGATTTTGCTTAATCCTGATCCTCTTTTTTTGTCTATGCCAACTAGGATTACTGTGGCAATCAGCAAGGAACGTTTAGTGTGATCACAGAGAATGTTCCCTGTGGAACGACAGGAGTTACCTGCTCCAAGGCCATTAAATTGTTTCTAGGGGTATGTATCGAGCCTCTGAGAAGGATTGTTTGAACGCAACCTTCCTTACCCAAATAAATCAGAGAATGCTTTGAAGTCTTGAACAAATTGGACTCAACTCTATTTTTTCAAGACTGACATTAAATAACACACCGTATGCAATTTAAGTCTGCTAGATTGACAACTCAGTTGAAAGTTGAGGACTGATCATGTTGTGCTATTAATTTTTTAAAAAACAAAATATTACAACAAATTTAAATTTATTTATTTTTATTCTGCCTCTATTATTTTTTATAATTGTCTACTATAGCACATTTGTTCTGATACAGTAAAGATTATTCTGATGACCGCTTTATAGAGAATGGTCTTCTTTTTTTGATTCTACCTCACCCGTGGGCTGAAATGGGTTGCATTCCAAAAAGCGTAAACCTAAACCATAATAAAGGTGTTAATCCACAGTGTCAATCCACTGCTCTTGGAGTGTATTGAGTAGGAGGGACTACTTAAAATTCGAACTTCTGTTTTCATCACGTAGCCTTCATTGTATTTATGCCTTTTAGACCACCGAACTGAAGCTGCAAGAAAAACACATTGAAACAATTGAGCGGGGTAACTACAGCTCTATAACTTACTGGATTCGTGAACCAGTTGGGATGTATACAGTAATTGAAGCCAGCAATGGAGTGATGCTCATCTGGGATAAGAAGACAACTGTTTTCATCAAGCTGATGCCATTTCATAAAGTCAGTGCATCTAGAACACTTTCCACACAACATTTTTATGTTACTAATGGATGAATATATTAAAATATTTTCTTACAGTATTTATATCTTAATACATACTAAATATCTCTATGAATATTATGATTTTGCACTATTATTACTTGATAAATGTAGATTAATGCAATATGCACAAGAAGTTATTGAACCCCCTGGGGAGGATTCACTGAATAATGTTTAAATGAGATTTAAATATATAGAATAAATGGGAGGAAGAGGCAAATATTTTTTCCTCTCCAATTTAGCTAAGCCTTGGGAAAATAGAACAAACCTTTTACTGGATCCAGCCCAAGGCAAACATCTGAAATGCTTAATGCAGATTTACTTAATGCTTTTTCTTTATTTATTTAGGGTAAACTTCTTTTTCCACGCTAGTGATACTTAACTGTTTGTAATTATTTTAGTGTGTGGTGTGAAGATATTGCTGTTTACTTGGTAATGATTATTTTAAATAACTATAATAATACTGTGAATTTTCAAAACTGAATCTGGTTTAATTTCAAAAAGTAAACAAGCCAATTCTTTCCCTCTGCACACACTTATGTTTGCTTTCTTCTTATACATGGAGAGTTATGTACACAAAACTGTCATTTGGAATAGTGCATGCAAAGGAAGCAGCAAACTCTGTTCCAGTTTTCTTAAATGCTAACTTTGTTTCTCCCCCTCTGGAACCCTAGACACAATACAGGTAATGCTCAACTTAGGATCACAATTGAGCCCCAAATTTCCATTCCTAAACAAGACAGTTGTTAAACGTTTTGCTTCATTTTGCAAACTTTCTTGCCACAGTTGTTAAGTGGAATTGTTAAATTAGTAACATGGTGACAAAGGGAATCTGGCTTCCACATTGTCTTTGCTTATCAGAAGGTCGCAAAAGGTGATCACATAACTTTGGAACACTGCAACCATCATAGGTATATGCCACATATCCAAATTTTGAGCACATGGCCATGGGGATCAGTGGTGGGTTGACAATTCCTTTTACTAGCGGTTTGGGCGCGCTCACTCGCACGTGTGATGCTTCTGTGCATGCACATCTGGGCAGGTGGGCAGAGCCTCCCGCTGCCATTACTACCAGTTCACCTGATCCAGGCCGAACCGGGAGCAACCCACCCCTGATGGGGGTGCTGCTATCGTTGTAAATATGTAAACCATTGTAAATGTGAAAAACAGTCACAAGTCACTTTTTTTCAGTGATATTGTAATTTCAAACGGTCACTAAACAAATAGTTGTAAGTTGAGGACTACCTGTCTTTTCTCAACAGATCATGGTAGAAATGTGAACTAGGCCAGTAAATTATTCAAATTCCTTTTAGCTTTGATGAAGTGTTTTTTGTTTTTTGCTTACAGGGAAAAGTCTGTGGTTTGTGTGGTAACTTTGATGACAAAGCCAGCAATGACTTTACAACAAGGAGTATGGCTCAAGACACAGTCAGTGCCTTGGCATTTGGAAATTCATGGAAAAAGGATCCGGCTTGCCCTGATGTAGAGGTGGTCATTGATCCCTGTGAGATGAAGCCACATCGGAAATCTTGGGCAGAAAAAGAGTGCAGCATTATCAAAAAAGATGTTTTTAAAGCTTGTCATTCCAAGGTTAGTACTTTTGGTTTGGTTTGGTTTTGAGTTATTATGGCATTATGGCAAATTTAAGATGTGTGGACTTCATCTCCCAGAATTCCCCAAATGCAGGTCAAGGAATCCTGGATGTTGAAGTCCACACATCGTAAAATTGGCAAGATTGAAAAATACCATATTAGGGAATGCTTTGACGTAGTGTTCTTTAAAATAAAATAAAACACTATCATAGGGGAGCCACGGACTGTGTCTGTTGGTGTTGCTGCACGTCTGAACATCAATTTTGGAAATGTTAATTTATGAATCTTTTCCTTCCTGCTTCTACATTAATTTGCAATTTTTTAAAAATGTCATTTAATTGTATATTTAAATATGTACTCCGAACATTTTCACAAGATACAAATTTAGAGATGTAACAACACTCCAGATATGTATTTTCTAATATATTGTCATTTTAAACTTAGATTTTTAATTATAGTAACCATTATTGAACTGTGATATTCAGGGAAGGGAAAATTATGGTGCTTAGTTTTATTCCAGTCCATTAGGGCAAGAATTCAAATAATTCTATATTAGGTTCCACATAGACTGCTCTGCTAAACACATCTAATCCAGAATACAATGTTTAGCTATGTGAGGAAAGCAAACTTTAAGTAAATACAGTTTCCTTCCCCTGAGAATTGAGAGAAATGTTGAACAAAATTAAACTTTTAAGGCCCTGAAGCACCTTGGTGGTTCCAACAAGAACTTTAATGGTGGGCTTTAAAAATTTCAGCAATAGGTTCTCTGCCTGATTGATGGGTGGGTGTGGCCATGGGGGCCATAGCCTAGTGGGCCTCCTGCACAATGGCAGGGGGACGACAATGAGATTTTCACCTTTCCCAGGCTACAGAGGATTTCCTTTAACCTCCGAGAGGGCAAAAACTCCCTCCCCTAGCCTCCAGAGGCTAGAAATGGGCCCATTTTTGGCCTTCCAGAACTTCCAGGAGGCCCATTTTCCCCCTCCCCAAGCCTCCACAGGCCATGCACTTACATTGCATTCAAAATGGGCCACGTGGAGACTCCTGGGGAGGGGCATGGTGCGAGGGGCATGGTGGGGTAGGCGGAGCCTGCCAGAGGTGGGATTGGAGGTTCTCTGTAATGTTAGCTACAGCTTCTCCTGAACCCGGGTGACCCATCCCTGCATGAATGGGATAGAGCTTCATTCATCTACTGCATGTAGACTTCTCTTGGATAACTGGATGATCACCTTGCTCAATCTGTTTGCCGAGCTTTTCTGTATTCAGAGGACAATGTAGTCACACAAATATCCAAATGCTGTGATTCTGTAATTTTTCAATAGGTGGACCCAGAACCATACTATGAAGCTTGTGTACATGATTCCTGTGCCTGTGATACTGGGGGGGACTGTGTATGCTTCTGCACTGCAGTTGCTGCCTATGCACATGAGTGTGTCAAAGCTGATGCGTGCATCCACTGGAGAACTCCAGATATATGCCGTAAGTATTCCAGATAAACTATTGAAGTTCTAGGATCAACATGCAATATCCAATTATCCCAAAGGATGATGATCTAGAAACACGAGACTATAAACTTTCACAAGTCTAGATGTGTTTATTTAATTTAGCTAAATCTTATCTTGGTAAAGTTTACTCTCTGAGACATTTTATGCTAAAACTCTTTATCTTTGTGGTAAGTTTTGCCAGAAATTTGGGTTTGAATGAAGTAAAACTTACTGGGAACACAAAATGGGCAAAGTTCTTGAAAATAAGCAAGTCAAGATCCCGTGGGATTTTCATATGGCCCACAACACACTTTGTGGAAAAGAAAGAAAAAGTCTGGTTCATTGACATTGCAATACTAGGTGATTCACAAATTGAAGAGAAACAGCTAGAAAAAATAACAAAATATCATGATTTGCACTTGGAAGTTGAGCAACTATGAGGAAGAAATAGGAGCTCTTGCTGCAATACCCAAAAGGCTGCCTAGATAGATGGAAATTTTGAACTTTTTAGATCTGAATATATCGGAGTTGCCTATATACTCAGACGTTACCCTAACAGTTCTTAGGTCTTTGGTTAAGACTTGAACTGTTAAAGTTTTACCACTCCCAGATTGTGAATTGAATTGAAGAAGATGATGATGATGATCATCATCATCATCACCATCATCATCATCTTATTCATTAAACATGAAACTCAATCAACTGAATATTTAAAAATGCATCACAAATACCTTTGACTGGTGCTGATGGTTGATATGGGTTGCTGCCAGCATCCTAGATATCAACCAAGTACCTTCTTAAGGTGTACAATGTTCTGAGTAGTTTTTTGTAGTTCTGCTGGTGTTATTGCAAGAAGATGGAGTTTCTTGATATGTTTTATAAAATTATTGGACATGGTGTTGTTATTGTTATTGTTATTGCTATTGCTGTTATTATTATTAACAATCAATCAAACAAACAAACACAAACCTTAAACGGCAAACTTTGTAGACCACTGGGTCATTTTTTTTGCATTACACAAGTCAATTTAGATAAAAAAATGTTGCAACAGTCTCTACATAATTGCCTTTAAAGCCACCATTCTGCTTCCAGTATGTACAAATATCCATGTATTAGTAAATCCATGTATTTTTATTAGAGATTCCCCCCAAAACATAGATAATGTTAGCATTAGAGATAGACAGTGTAGGATACCTATATATAATACCTTAGCTATATATCTATAGGATACCTACCTGTAGTGTTATTTACTAGTTCCTGTGATGTCATATAGAGATATCTTACATGGGAATTGGAAAAAAATATTTTCCCTGCTTCTTTTCTAATGAGCAACTTTCTTTTTAAAGCAATCTTTTGTGAATACTTCAATCCTGATGAAGATAAATGTCAGTGGCACTATGAGCCTTGCGGACGTGATATTTTAACTTGCAAAATCCTCAATCAAGTCACCACCAACTTTTCAGTGTCATTCTTAGAAGGTAAAAGACCTGTTAATTTTGTAGTGGATTTGTTCTTCAAAGATTGTTTATATGGGGTTGGAAGAATGTGGTTGGGTCATTCAGCTGGGTGGCCAATAAACAAACATAAAAGTCATTCAGTGAGCTGATCCACTTTGGTGGGAAATCTATACTGTTTTTATTTTTATTTTTGGACCCAAAATGGGATGATCCCACTGAGATCTTTCCTGGCCTTTAAGTTGAAGTTTTGGAAACATCTTTGTCTCTGATTAATGCATCTTAGCTTTTGCTTCATCAGAATTTTCTTTCTTTCTAATTGGCTTTTTTACTTCTGTGCTTAATCTACTAGACTGATTCTTAATAAAACAGTTCCAAAGATGTAGACCTACATTCAATAGCAGTAGCAATAGCAGTAGACTTATATACCGCTTCATAGGCCTTTCAGGCCTCTCTAAGCGGTTTACAGAGAGTCAGCATATTGCCCCCAACAATCTGGGTCCTCATTTTACCCACCTCGGAAGGATGGAAGGCTGAGTCAACCCTGAGCCGGTGAGATTTGAACCGCTGACCTGCTGATCTAGCAGTAGCCTGCAGTGCTGCATTTTAACCACTGCGCCACCTTCAATTAGAGATAAAACAGAACATGAGTGTTTCTTTAGCTACCAAAGTCTTGACTCTCAGTCTTTAATGAAAGGGGGATTCTCTTTTTTTGGCCCCTTTCTAGTATATTCTTAGTGTATTATTCCAAGGGAAATATCAGAATAAATATACATAGAAGAAGTGCAGAACTGCGTCTGTCCCTTAGAAATGACATCCAGTCAACTGGCACACAGACTGAATAATTTCCATTTCTTTCTGATATATAAATCAAAGGTGTTATTTTTTAACCAAGTCTTTGGAGCATGTCTCCTTCATGCAATTCTTCTATGGCAAGGACAGATAATAGCTGCCATTTTAAAAAATGCATCTTTTTGGACAATAGGTTGCTACCCACGATGTGATCCAGAAACTCCAATCTACAATGAAGAAACCAATTCATGTGGAACAAAGGATACATGTGGTTGCTACCATAATGATACTTACTACCCACCTGGAAGTCTCATCCCCAGTTATGAACTGTGCCACACTTGGTATGTGAAAATATAAAGTGAATGGAGGAAGAACTGAAAAAAAAGCATTTGAACAAATGTCTTTATCAAAACTATTCAGTTTCAGATGGTTGGGTTTCTGCATGAGTGTGTGACAAGGACAGCATTGTAAGTTAGTAAGCACTTTTAGGATAGAATAGATTGAAAGGGGTGGAAGGTTAGAAGTGATCAGAATGCAAAATTGTGTACTCTCTTCCAACTGCTACTTCCTCCAGGAGTCAGTAAACTCATTTGATAGAAGAAAATGAGCTTGTCAGATAATCACCACCTTGTGTTTTCTTATAAGCTCCATAATGCTTCATATGCAACATTTATTTCTTAGATGACCCAATAAATTAGGCAACAATATCATAATAGGAGTTAAAGCAGTAGTGGGAAAAAGGTCTTTTGGCTACCAAAGTGAACTGGTGTCCAGTGTGTTGGAACCATGCTGTATGGAGAGGAACAAGAATAGTAGCAAGTCATGCCTATGCTTCCTTAGCCTCCCCCCACCCACAACTGGTAAAACTACTGTGTGTGCTGTTCTGAATGGTCCAGATCTTTCTGGAAGAGATTGTTAGGAACTTTGGGAGTAGCAGTAAGAAGAGATAATGAGAGACGAGAGGTTTCTTCTACTGGGTTAGAGGTAATTCATGAAACTGTCTTCCATAGACCTCTCTATGTGGAGAGAGGTACATCTGAGGAATCCAAGAAGTTGGGGAAGTCCTAGTTGAGAGTTTGGGTTTTTGACTAATCTCCAGAAGTCATTCAGCTTGCTTTAGAATACATAAAAAGGTAAAGAATAGTTTCGTGCAATTTCTTAATTTCTTCCTCACTTTATGGGAATTCAACATTCTAGTCCCCATTAAAATGTCATTGTTTGTGATAAAAATGTTATATAAAGCAATGTCCATGCAAGGCTATCTTTTCTACAAAAAGAAAATATCAGGAAGCAACCTCCTTCCTTCCTTTTAAAGAGAAAATACTGGCAAAGTGAAGGAGCTTAATTGTAAAAGAACTACCCTGTTTTTGCCAAAGTTTTTTTGCCACATTGTAAAAAAATTAGGGGGTGGGAATAAAATACAAGCCCTATGGAGCAGTGTTTCCCAATTTCGACTTTGACTACCATAATTCCCTAGCCAACATAGCCATTGCTGAGATTGCTGGGAATTGAATTCCACACACCTAAAAGTAGCCAAGATTGGGAAACATTGCTCATACATCTAAAAAGGAAGGACCACAAATGACCAAGGTTGGCATTAATTTGGGGAACATTTCTGATTAGGCTAGGTGTGGTGAATATTGGTCTCATAGAATTTATAGATATATAGAGCTTATCTACCAAAGACCTGACTCCATTCTATTCTCATATCTATTCCTGCCAGCATTAACTTCCTGTCCTGTGAAATTATGTGAACAAATTATATTTATTATTAGAATTTCATTATGAATCCAAGGCACCACAGTTGCAGATTGAATATAGTCAGGCTACAAGAACAAAAGTTTAATATTAAAGTTTAACATTGCTAAATAAATAACACTTTAAATATTTTGTTTCTGTTTTTTTTTAAACTTTCAGTTACTGCAACTCAGCAGGAAATGTGACATGTAAACCTAAAAAAGGTATGTTTTCCCTAGCAGCTTCCATATATTTCTCTTGAATGAGCAAGTCATGGTTTGAGGTGTTTGTTTTAAAATTTTAAATATTGAGAATATCAGTTTTATTTTGTAACTTGTTTCTATACTTGGTACATTTAAGGAAAGATGAATGAAGTCCCAGTAGCTATACATTTAGATGCAAATATTTATTTGTTTGTTTTTTAAAAAATTACCAGGAATCCTACAGTTCTAATCCTTCAGAGTACAATGTTTAGTATAGTTTCCTGTCAACTTACACAGCCATAAAAGTTCCTTGAGTTGCAGAGAAACTTTTGATAATGACTTGAGATGTTTGAAAGTTGGATATACAAATTGAATCCAATAAGACATAATAGAGCTTATTGTTAGGTCCACTCTGGAATAATGCCAGCAGCTATACATTATATTTTTCAACCTGTAAGCTGATTGTTTATAATCTTGTGAAGATGTGTGCAACTTCTTGAAGTTTATCTGGCAAAGGGAAGAGCAAATCTGGGAGCACTTTGCCCAGGTTTTCCAGATAATGTCTCTCATGTTGGATTCTACCTTTCCAGTGTCAAACGAGATGACAATAGTCATCTCTCATCCATTATCCTGTTTAGTTTATTATACTAGCGAATGAGAATCAAACTTTTGAAAAACCAAAGCCAACAACCAGTGTGTTTGAACCTTACCAAACTATTTTAGCCAAAAGAATAACAACAGCCAGAGGATTTCCATCCTGCCTGAAGCAAGCAGTAGCTCATCCCTTGATGAAAAAGCCTTTTCAAAATGTGACAGGTTGATAATACAACAGTTCAACAGTACACCAGCCACTCAAGGAGATGGTCAGCTTGTGTTTACTGGATGCTTAAATAGAGCCTGGGCAGCATCACTTGGGAATGCTTTGAAATTAAATTCCTGAACCGAGCACTGTGGATGTTAGACTCTATGACCGCTTTCAACTTTAGGATTCTAAATTCAATGAATAACTAAGCTGTCTCAAATTCCCATTTTGGGTAAGATGACAGAATGATTCATAGCACAAGAATGAAAGTTTCTGGAGGAAACTGTTATCTGGGGCAATTTCAGATGAGAGCTTAGTCTGGCCCTCAAACAGCTTAGGCCAATTTAATATTTTTCTTCAAGAACCTAGGTAGGCAGAATATGTACCCATTGATTCTTGTGACTCTCTCGGGAGCTTTCACTATGATTCATTGTGGGTTGCCTATCATGGATACTGACTTGTGACTATTCAGATCCAACCTCACATATAAGACCAAGAAAGTAGATGTGAAAGAGTCTGTTCAATGTCACTGATGCTCTATGTAATTTGCTAAAGATCTACAAGAGTTCTACACTGGTTAATATTTATTTGAAATAGCTGGGAGACGTAATCCAGGGCTATAGGATATGATGTCTATAGGTAGATGATATCCAGTTGGGCATCTCATTTCAGCCCCAACTAATGTGGCTATTCATATCTCGAAATGATGCCTGAAACCTGTAGAATTTGATTTTAAATTGGGATTAAAATTGGATAAGTATTCTTTCTGAAGAATAAGGCTCCCTCACCAGCCTATGGGAATACATTTCTCTGAAGGACTGGATATATAATTTAGAGACATGCTCCCATTCAGCTTTGCTACTTGTTGTTCAGGTCACATCTCTTCCATTTTCAAATTTTGGCTGGTATATCATTATGAACAGCTCTCCAGCATTTTGACATAATCCAAATTTTGTCACTTATTGATTAGGCTTGCCCTTAAAGATTCTTTGGAAAGTATAGCTCAGTGATGGTAAACCTTTTAGACACTGAGTGCCCAAACTGCGCGCGCAGGCCCAATCTGAAAGGTGTGCATACACAAACATGCACATGTGCAGACATGCATGGAGACATGCATGGAAATGTGTGAATTTGTGCATGCGCAGACATGCACACATGTGCAGCTGAGACCCAAAGACCAGCTGGCCAGTGGGAGGTGGGGCATTCCAACTCTGGCAGCGTGGCAAGAGGTAAGATCTTTTTCTTTCATGAGCTTCTGTTTTGGCATTTGCAGGGAAACAGAAGCTCACAAAAGAAATGCCAAGGAGATCTGACCTGGGGCGATGGCACACATGTCACCAAAGAGGGCTTTGTGTGCCACCTCTGGCATGCATGCCATATGCTTGCCATCACAGGTATAGCTGGTCAAATATGGCAACCCAGGTTGTCTAAAAGATCAAACCATAAAATAGCACTCTAGCTGGGCTGGTTACCAGTTCCCTTCTTGGTGTAATTAAAGGGTATAGGTTAAGACACTTTAAAGGTTTTGGATCAAAGCCCCTAAGAATCTGGCTGGCCTGTTAAAAAAACTATGACAGTTTCTTTTCTGAACTCACGCCTTCTGAAGTGGAGCTAGGATTGCAAGGAAACAGCTGTTCAACTCTCTTGTTGTGAAATTCCTTCTGCCTGAAATTCGTTAATATCTTTTTCCACAGAGTGTTGTGTTTATGATGGCGAAGAGTATAGAGTGGGACAAAATGTCACTTCCCCCACTAATCCATGTGTGTACCGAATATGCACATTAAATGGCACCATGGAAATTAGATATGATGGATGCACTTCAACTTCTCCACCTACAACCTCTCCCAGCACTACTACTCCTACCACCACCGCTACTACCACACCAAGTAAGCTTCCAGTGTTAATAATTCTTTTTATTGCCCTGGAGGATAATAAACTTGTATAGAAATTTGGTTGATAATGCCATGTTGAGGTATGTTCAGTGTGGAAACTTTGCCAATTTTCTCTAAAACTCTTAAAATGAACCAACCATGATTTACTATTCTTTTTTCTCCATTTCAGTGACTTCTACAACAGTTTCAACTACCAGTAAGTAGTAAAAGGGATGTGGGAAAGGTCCAAAATTTTGCAGTATAAAACACAATCCTTTCATTAAAAGGGACTCATGTACTATTTGTTTCCCTTTCAGGCACTTCTACAATAAGTTCAAGTAAGTACAAAACATGTTTCATTCATTTTTTTTAAATTTTATTTTAAAGGAACAGATTAGGAAATACTCAGATAATCATGCTGAGAATTTGTGGGGACTGTTAGCAAAAGGAATTAAAAGAAATAAACATCCAGTTTATTTTCCATTTTGAAGTCATGGAGATTTTAAGAAAAAAACACATAATATTTATAAATATTTGTATTAGTATACAGATACTATATTGTACCTCTTTGAGCTAAATTAAAATGCTCTGTGCTTACTATCTATGATACTATCAGATTACCAAATTGGGGCAGAGTGTGTGTGTGTGTGAGAGAGAGAGAGAGAGAGAGGGGGGGGGAGAGAGAGAAAGAGAGAGAGAGAGAGAGAGAAAGAGAGGTGGTGGTGGTGGTACATGTAAAAAGGGCTTATCAGTTATGCAGTGCAGCAATCATGTTTATTTCTTTGGAGACCTCTCTCTGTGGATAACCCTGAAAGCAGAAATTGAGTAAATTGAAATCTAAGTTTGAGCAAGGTTTTTTTTTATAATGTTGCTTCATTTAGAGAAAACAGGTATGTTATACAGAGCACTTACGGTGATTGTAGAATTAATGGTGGGTCTAACATTAACAGACTGAGCAAAGGTAACATTGCACAGATTGGATATTGTTGATGTCACAAGGTGAAACAAGAAAATGATCAGAGTTATTGTAGAAAATTTACCCCAGTGCTGAGGATTTATCGACATAAATGCATTCAGTGAAAGAAAGTTATTCCATGTTCAAGAACAAATACATTATTTAAGGGGAAAAAAAACATTTTCTCTACTTTTATGACAGCACAAGGCTAATACTGTTTTCCATATCAGAAATTGTAAACACATCTTCAACTTTTATATAGCAACCTTTTCCCATTCTAACTGCTAATTGTACCATCAACATTTTAGTCTTCCTCCGATTCCACTTCCACCAATACATCTACACTAAAGAATATAAAAGTGTTACTCCACATGAACATTATACATTACTCTTTCCTTTTTACCTCCCAATAACACCAAGGTTTTTTGCAGTGGTTACGTAAACAAGCAACCAATTAGTTTGTTGTAAACAACGACAAACAAAAAACAATGGCTGTGAATTGGGAGGACAAGTATAATTTATCCTACAGAGTGAGGGGTTTGAGAAATGGTACATGTAAATGGACTTAAATGAATTCCTGTCAATTACGCTGTCCTTTGGGTTGATATACTACTAAAATTCTGGATTTGCAGATATTTTTTGTGGGTTGTAATCCTCATTGAAAGGGAATGCAGTAGATCAAAACTGGGTTTGGATGTGGAGAAATTTCTATTACAAAAGGAAAAAAAAACAGATTAGAGGAGCAGAATAGAAAAACAAGCATGAACAATACAGTTCCACATTCAAGACAATTAATAATGCTAAGATTACCTAATTAGGTGTGAGCTCCAGAAAACCAGCGAGCCATCAAGGGCAGCAAAGCATTGCCTCAGTTTTTTTTTCTTTTTGTAATAGAAATTTCTCCACATCCAAACCCAGTTTTGGTCTACTGCATTCCCTTTCAATGAGGATTACAACCCACAAAAA